TCCCTGCCCATGCAGGGGGGTTGAGACTGGATGATCTTTCAGGTCCCTTCCAACCCAAACCATTCCATACCTCTGTGCTTCCCCTCTGCTCTCCTAACATCAGGACCAGCACCTGACACTGGAAATCTGTGTGTGCCTGAGTGTTTGTGTGTGGGAAAGAAAACTACCCAAGCAGAGCAGCAGCCCCCCCTTCTAATTACATTCCCTTCCCTAATTGCTTGAAGACCAATCTTTAGAACCTCTCTCTCTCTCTCTAACCCTCAGTGGTTTCTGCTGAACAGTTGTTGTGTTTCTTTTTTGACTCAACACCAGGAAAATGGCTCCCTTTGTCCCTTATGTCTTTGCAACCAATTTGGTGCTACCACTTCAGTTTGTTTGATTTGTTTGATTTTTTTTTTAACTAAGAATTCTTCAGGGTTTATTTATTCTTTTTCCCCAGGCCAAATGAAAATGATTTAACAACAGGGATAGGGGAAAAAATAAATAAATATATATATCTGGTAATTAAACAAGGGAAAATAACATCACTAGGGTGAATTGCAATGAATAATCCTAGAGATAAGCCCCAGCAGGAGAACAGCTGGGGTGTCTTTGTGCATAAACTACAGGCTCCTTTTGGGTTGTGACACAGATGTGGCTGCTTCAGTAGAGCTCCCTGAACACACACAGGGAAGGACTGGGGGCTCAGCCCAAATTTGCCTGCATTGTCTTTGCTGGGATGATGGTGAGAGCCTGAGTGATGCACCACGACCCTCTCACCTGCCTGCTCAGCTTTCCACCCATCTTCATCCTGAGGCACCACAACCTTGGCCTCAAGTTACTATCCAGGATGAAGGCTTAGGAAGGGCAAAGCACCACCTTGAGGTGTCTTTTCCCTGGCAAGAGCCCAGAGAAGGGATCTGGGCAATGATCCCTTCACATGGAGGTGCAGCAACTGCCTGTGCCCTCCCAGGCACTTTGCCCACACCCACTCGAGGCACTTCCAAGCTGTCTGTGTTTGATGGGACACACCAGCTCAGGTCCCAGGTTTCCTGGAGAGCAGCAGCTCCCTAGCACTTCGGTGGAGAGACAGCTAATGCTGTGGTGGGAACTGAGAGAGGATGGGGACATGTTCCACCTACCCCAGGGGAGATCCTGGGGGTCCCCAGCCCACCCTGTGCTGCTGGCTGGGAAGCAGAGCAGCTAGGAGCTTCTGCTTGCTCTTTGCAGGGTTCCATGGGGATGTCCTACACCTCCTTAGCAGCTCTGATGGAAGGGGGTGGAGAAGCAGGGGATTTGTCCCTTGAGGCAGCCTGAGGGCCCCTCGGGGAGGTGGCCCAGCCTGTGGGCTCCTGTGTGCACTGTCACACCTGAGTTCCCACTTCAAACTGGCAGCTTGACTCCAGCCTGCCAGAATCTGCCCCACTGAGGCACAAAGGGACAAGTGACACTGTCCCCAGAGGAAGGAATAGATTGCCCCCCTGTCTGTTCTGGTAGCCCAGGTACCAGGGAACCCTTGGGGCCACCAGGCAGACTGTCCCTCCAGAATGAGCACTGCATGGGTCTCCAGCACCTTCCCTCCCCTGCAGCACTTCCCAGGGAGCAGGATGCACATGGACTTCAATTTGGCATCTCCCCTTGCATATGGGGAGGGAAAGGTACCACCTTCTTCCTGGTGCTGGTGGAAAACCTGATCTCATCACCTTCAAGGGCCCCCTCAGAGCAGCTGAACCCAGAGAAGGAAGTGATGCTGCTACTGGATCCAAATGGCTCTTGATGAAACATCTATCTGATTTTTTTTCCCCACACACTTCTTTTTTTTTTCTACTACCTTGCTTGGCATTACTGGCTAATCCCTTGGCTAATCACCACTCTGAGAGCCTCTTGGCCAATCAGCTGACCCTGCAAGGGACAGCAAGAAGCAGATCACTGCACAGAGGTGGCATTTCCCCACAGCTGTGGGGATAACTGCACCAACAACATGATGCTGAAGGGCTCAAGGAATGAACTGCTGA